TATCCTCCTCCTCAGCCAGGCACAGCTTCTTCTGCGCCACAGCATGAACACACGCTGCTGCATCCTCGGGGGAAGCAGAGGGTGCCAGCCCTATGCTAGCTCGTGCTTCATTTCAGGTTTCACACTGAGTAGCAGCATACCACACCAGCTAGGAGCTGGTACTCTAGCCTGTCATCCTACTGTTTACATTTTAGCATAGGCATTATTATACTGATTCTACAGTTAAAAGATTATTTTTAAGGTGACTTCAAGCTGGCATTCAATACTTCAAAAAAACACCATGCACTGCTGCCACCACTGCCTGCTTTCAGATGGCAATTACTGGTGGAGAAATGGGCATGATAACACTCCTCCCTTCTGGCTGCAGAGGTCTGAAATTACAGCAAACTCTTAGCACCCCGAAGCTGATAGGAAGGCTAGGCTCCTGAAGAGAACCAGGGCCCGTGCTGTGGCAAGGACTCCACCAGAACCCTTCCACAAGCTGCTCTGCACCTAAGGGCACCTTCTCCGATTTCCTTGAGCAGGCGTCTGCCTAAGAGTTGCCGAATGAAGTGTTCTTCTCCTTGTGCTCTGCGGATGTCAAAGCAGTTTGCAGTGCTACCACCTTCATGTCGCAGAATGGAGGTAATTAGGTACGAAGAAGTAAGGGTAAGACAGAACACCGGGTAACTGGAAATGGAAGTCTGCTCCTAACTCTTGCATCACCCACAACTCACTTCGGCTGTCCTTTCTTCAGTTTCTCCACATGAATAGTGGCTGCTGCATCACTTCCCCTACATGCAGTAGTGCTTCATTCCTCAATCTTTATAAAATGCACCAAGATGCACAGGGAACAGCATCGTGGCAAGACTCATCATAGCTACAGGACAGAGACGAGAGGTGAACAGGCACCGCTGTACGCCACGACAGGCACGCTGCAGCGTGCACTGCTAACGAGGGGGGAGGAAAGAGACAAAGTCCTCAGACTCCTCCAGGTAAATCTGTACCTGAGCAGAGGCATTCAAAGCACTGTGTCTTGCCAAAGGTTGGTCACACAGGTCAGTGATATACAGCGCAGCAGAAAGCTGCCTGCTGAGCTCACGCTCCTGTCACGGCAATGGGGCATTCTGGATATATTCCTTGCATTACAAACATTACTTCTGCCAGCCCATGCCTGCGAGCATTCTTCAGCCAAATGCCCTCTGCATAAGTATTGAGGATCGTTGAATTTGAGAGAGGAAAAGAAAAAACAGAAATACTGACCACCTTTTTCTGCATCTAACATTTTACACAGCAACAATCTTAACCATAAAAGCTAACGCAAAGCATTCGCAGAGAACTACAAACGCTGTGCATCAGCACGTTTTCGCAATTTTACATAAAAATAAAACCAGAGGTGGGAGGCAAATCCAAGCGTAACTGCATAACTAATGCTTTCTTTAAAGTGCCAACTGAGACATGTCTTTAAACCTGGATCTAAGCGTTCCGAGGCCTAAAACGCTGCTGCTATTTTCCATGGTTTCCACTGAGTCTGTTCCAGATTTAACAGCTGAAATGTTTCTTGGTACTCTGCTCCTGACTATTAAGTTTCTAATCCAGAGTTGGTCATTCCAGCCTTACAGCACTGTGTCTGCAAGGGACAAGTGATGCAGACGCTAAAAGCAGCAAAAAGGCATCGGGTTCGCATTCTTCAGCTAGGGGTTATCCATAATAATGCAATGAAAATATTTTACCAGCTGCTGAAATTCAAAAAATGTGTAGCTTAGAATCAGACACAGCACTCTACTTAGTGGCCAGTATTAGCTTATCTACCACAAAAGCTGAGGGATACAAATTGTCTGCTTAGTTGCATGTTATTATCAGTGCTGAGCCTGCAAGTTACGGCATGGTGCAGTGCGGAGGTATGTCAGCTTCCTGGGCAGTAATGGAGTACAAATGCAAGGGAAGGCAGCGCCTCGACAAAAGGGACGTCAAACACTCTTCCATACCGAGCCGTCCCGTGTCACGTCTTCCATGCGACCTTCTATTAACTGAAGGGGACAGCAGGAGTAGGCGGGGAGCCCAGGTGCACCAAGGAGACACAGAAAGTGAGACTTAGCTACCGAATTTGCTTTCTACTTCAGTAATTATTCTTATCACGAAATAGAAAGCGTCGCTGATCGCGCGGCATTCTCGGTGTTACCAGATGAACTGTTATGCTTGCAAGTTTTAGTTCTCGGGGCCTGCTCTGTGCGGGATCAAATCCTGTAAGTGCATGGAATGTCAACGGTAGTAGAGAAATATAGTGAGAACGCAGCATGACAGACATTAAACGAGGATTTTAACCGATCTCCCAAATGCAGAACACTCGACTACAGTGATTCAGTTACTCACAGCTACAAAATGCTTCACAAAGACATGGAGTATTTAACCTCTTTCTGCAATATGACAATGGCACCTCCCCTGTTTTTTTCAAACAAGCCGAGAATTATGGATGGAAAACACTAAACAACAGTATTTTCATGGACACAAGTTAAAGACTGTCAAACACTCTCCAAGGTTCAGAAAAAACTTTTCATTTATATGTTAATATACACACACACGTATGTAATGATTTCAAGAGAAAGTATCACAAAGCATAAAATACTAAATAAATCAAGAATACAAACATGCTTACTTTTATATGATTGTAATACAAACCAATGCTTATTTGACAGGTAATTCTCGTTTGGGCTCACACTTTAGCAGTAGGAACATCGATCATCTTTTTGATGGCTGACCAACAAAAGAAGTCATCAGAAACAATGTTTCATGTAATTATTTATGACTCATGACAGTCTGAGGTTGTTTTTCAAAATGTCTGGCCTCAAAACTTTTTGACAATGCATTCTGAAGCCATGGTGAACTTTTTAAACACCCATGTTTTTTTCCAGAGCTAAAGGTCACTACAGTACCCAAAGCTAGTGGCGACAATCTGCAGACACCCACTGTGAGGTTTGTTCTCCAGCAGATATCCCTAGGCTTCACTATGAGTCAGGAAAGCAGCTAGGAAGTTCATGCCAACACATCCGGACATCCTAGACAGAGTGGTGTTTCAAGTCTTACTCACTTAACCACACCATTTCCAAGATGAAAGCTGAATTACTTCCTTGCATCCTTTACAACGACAGTGTAAGTGCACGTCCCTTTCCAGGGTGCGGGGAGGCCGAGCCTTAGTCATCTCAGCCCACGCTAGGAGTGAACGCCACTTCACCTCAAGGGTGGGGGAGCAGGGCACAAACCCAGCCGCCGCTTGGCAGGCTGAGAGGCCCCCTGGGCCGGCAGGACTGGCTGAGGGCAGGGGCCGCTCCAGCAGCCCTCTCAGCCTCCTCGGAAGCGGCTCTCGCAGCGCCCTGTGGGGAC